GTACACACCTGTAGTCCCAGCTGTTTGATAGTCTGAGGCAGGAGGATGGGCTGAGCCCGGGAGTTTGAGACCAGTCTGGACAACATAGCAAGACCCTGTCAGCTGGGCATGGTTGCATACCGCTGTAATGCCAGCAGCTTGGGAGGCTGAGGCAGGAGGATCCTGAGTTCAACCCGATCCAGTTTCAACAACTTAGCAACTCATTGAGACCTTTTCTCTAATAAAAAAAAAAGGGGGGGGGGGTAAGATGGGATGTGGCTTAGTAATTGAGCACCCCTGGGTTAAACCCACAGAATAAAAAAAAAAAGAGTCTGACTCTGTCAAACAAAAAACCCATAGGGGAACATTTTTAAGTAAGTTTTTTTTTTTTTTTTTTTGGTGCCAGGGATCAATCCCAGGACCTCACATATTGGCAAATAGTCTACCACTGAGCCACATCTCCAGCCCCTGATATATAGTTCTTTTGTTTGCATTTTAGGATGTAATATGAACAAGGACTGTGATTTTTAATTTGGGGCTGTGATTTTTTTTCTAACTCTTTCCTTCATGCCAAAATTTTTTAGGGGTTTTACTTGCTCTGGTCTCTAGTCCCTAAAAGAAACCAGGTGTATCCTGTAGTTAGCCACCTGTCCCAAGTTCATGAGAGTTCCAGGGGAAAACCTGGGTCTCTGTTAGCGTCATTCTGGGTAGGAATAGTATTTTCCTTGGCATGTTTTGTAGCCTTGCTACCTGCCGGCTGTCACTCCCACCTAATTAATAAGTTATTTACATAGAAAAAAATTTCTTTAAACATTACATTTCATTAATCGAACCTTCTGCTAAAGATTGTATTTCAACAAGACTTTGTTACTCCCAGTCTTTTTAAAAAGTCATCTGCATCTTTAAGGAGGGCTGGCCCTTTTTCCCTTCTGAGATATTAGAGAGTATCTATAATAGAATACAACAGTTTTTTATGCAGCTACCCAGTGGTTTAATCACAATGCAGAAACAACATTGCTAATCTGAACAATCTACATGGATGACAACTCATTGAAACAACTATCAATTAACAACATAATTGTCAGTTATAAATTGCCAACATTAAAATAGGCAATTGAAACTTCTGTGAGGCTTTTGTGCTCCACCACCCCCCTTTCCTCTTTAAAGGGTGTAGATATAGGGCAGGGGCCTGGGTTGAAAAGTTTAAACTGATGACCAAGTTAATTGTCATTTTAATTACTGGGTCATCTTTCTTATGGATTATTCTGAAGTGAAAATAGTGGTGCTAGTCATAAAATTCCACTCCAGGTTTGGCAGGTCAACCTTGCAATTGCAATCCCAGGTCTACATTCTCTTTAACCAGGGCCATTGTAGACAGAGCATGACATTGAGTTCTCTCCTATTTTTTTTGGTCAAGATCATGTCAAAGAAAACCCAGACTCTGGATGAAGGCATAGTCCATTTTGTAAAGCAACTAAAAAAAAACAAAAAAACCAAAAAACAACTTAGCTGAATTTTGTCAGGATAATGGTCTCAGTGTCTCTTCACTATTGAAAAAAACAAACAAAAAAAAAAACCAAAAAACAAAACCACCCTGACCTCAGGCCTCGGTGAGTGAGAGAGCACAAAGAGCAGAAAGAAAAGAAGAAAAGAATTAGTATTCAGTGATAGAAAGAAAGGCATCTTGAAAATCAAAAATGCAATCATCACCTTTGCAATTACATGTCTCTCACTTGGCTGCCAGGTGTCAAGGTGGAACCAGGCTGCTGGGGATGCAGGATCACCTGCAGGGGGAATTTTTTAAAACTAGGACTTCAGTTTATACTTGGGCACTAAATTTCACTGTGCAAAATCTGGCGCTACCAGCCAAGATCTGAGCCAACTAAAATAGGAATTATGATGCAAACTCAGCCTATTCTTTTGCATCACCATTGAACTGCATAGTACCAGGTGTTACTTCTCCATTTGAAGAGAAAGTTTGACTCAGAACTTAAAACAAATAACTACCTCCTTCCTTGAGGACATTGGAATGGAATGGAAAGACAATAGACTTTTTCCCTAGACCTTAGGAAAGGAAAGAGCAGTGCTGGGAGTATGGGAATGTGGCTTCCTTTGTTGGATCTGTAACTTCTTTAACTACCTTGAAAAGGAGAGCAGGGAACTGGGAGTTGTGGTGATTCCAGCTACTTAAGAGGTTGAGGCGGGAACATTGCAAATTGGAGGTCAGCCTTAGACTCTTAGTCATTATGAATTTAAAGAGATATCAACCAAAAATACTTTCATTGACCTAAAAATATTTTTAAGTTAATGAAATAGTTCTGCTTTTTTGATCTTAATAAAGGGGAATTTAAATTTTAAAAAATGTTAAGTCATCAATTAGTGTTTACATTTTAAAATTCACTTTAAATTCGGTGGACTGTATTGTAACTATGCATAATAACTTTCTTAACCATAAACTGCTGAATCCAGCTTTTCTAAGCAACTGGGTCAGTGCTGTTTATAATTTAATAAGTTTTGCAAATCAACTGTAACATATACAGGTGGCATTTAATAACAGTATAGCAAATATCCTTTGTCTTTCCCGCATGGTATGGTTACTTCATTTGACTGTGTGTAGTATAGTCAGCACTCCAAAGAGCACAAGAAACCGTTATTATCTTTTTTTAAATTATTTTTTAGTTGTAGTTGGACTCAATACCTTTATTTTATTTATTTATTTTTATGTGGTGCTGAGGATTAAATCTAGGGCCTCGCACATGCTATATGAGTGCTCTACCGTTGAGCCACAAACCCAACCCCTCTATTATCTTAATTTATTATCTTAATTTAAATAGTCATATCATACTTGGAGGTTTTTCTGCTCATTGGTTTAAGGTGGGTGGGTAGGGTGCCAAATGACAATTATCTAATGTTGTGCATATTTTCCTTCAAGTGCTTCCCTGAGCCACATGACTTGCTTATGGTGTTTACCTTGGAGCGTCTAGACATCTATATGCTCCTCCAGCTGTGTGGGCGATGCTCTTCACCTTGAGGCTTTGGCCCTTCAAAGGTTACATTTGCTGCATGGAAGAGCAGTTGGCTTTGCCGATAGTTAATGTCTCATTGCACCCCTTTTCCACGCCATCTGTCTGACCTGGACCCATTCCAAACACCACGGCTTTGCTGGCAGAATGGTCTTCCTGCTACAGAAGTTTTGTAATCTGCTAATTGACAGGGTAAGGAAAATTTATATTTGGGTTACAGCTGAAAAGTTGGATGTTTCTTTGATGGGGCTTTAAATACTGACATATGCTGCACTGGTTTTTGATTCTAGGCATCCGTGTTTGTGCTTGGTCACGCGCTCTCCCCTGTGTTCTCTGCCTCATTGAGAGTATGGCATCCTTTGGAGAAGAACATCAATATGATCTACCAGGGAATTATCCTCTACTTAGTTTACTCATTAAGCAATGATTTTATTATTATTATCTCTTCATAGTATGAGACAGATGGCAAAGAAGGAGTTTGCTTTATTGAACAAGATGTGGTATTAGGCATGGCAAATCTCACCCAATGGTTATTACCTTCAGTAGTCGTCAGTCTAATAGGCATCTTTGCCTTTGTACAGGGCTTGGTTCTATATTTAGCTCTTAAGTTAAGGGCAAAGCTGTTATCAATTCTTTTTTTTCTTCTTCTTCTTCTCTCTCCTGCATGTGGGTGGAGGGCAGAAGAATTCTAGAGAAGCGAGTTTCATTAAAATCATGCTGTTTAAGATAACATTTATGGTTGTCCTCATCTTGAAATCATGCTTTAAAGCTCAGTCGGAGCAAGTGAGTATGGTCCTGCCTAGGAATTTGGATCCATGTCCCTAAGGTGAGGTCTTCTGCCCAGGAACCACATGTACATGTTGCAAGTGGTGCATGAGTGTGGTGTGATATTGTGCCTCTGGACTCCACCAGCCCCTCTCTCAGTTGCAGCCCCTCAACCTGCCCTCGAACAACAATTGGCAGAAGGAAAGATGAGAATGAAAGAGAATTTCTTCCATCTTCCATACCTTTGAAAACTTCAAAGTTGTTCCCAATCTGGTTCTGATGATCCATGTCTCAGTGCAAAGCATACATAAAGGTCTGAAATCTGCACACTGATCAGAAATAGTTTTTGGAAAGTCAGATTTAATCCCATGAGCCAAATGATCACTACCAACAGCCATCAGGGAAAACCAAAGTCCACAGCAAATTTTAATTTGGCAAATGCATAAAAGGTTCAAAAGAGCAGAGGTCTCATTTACATTCCTCCCTCTTATATGGGATTTTCTTCTATATTAGTAATTAAAGGGTGCAGGCTGGAGAGCGCAACTATATCGCATAATAGCCATCGGGAACACACTAACAACTTCCTTGAAGTAACGCACACTAGGGTGTTTATGGTTCAGTGTCACATAGACTCTCTTTGATCTAAATTAGGATTCATTGGCAAACTCACAATAGGCTCCACATGTACCCCTCTCAACCTCTTTCTTTTAATCATGGAAATTAGAGATGGAAAATATCCATTAAGTCACTTAGTCCATTTCCCTGCCAGGGTGAAATTGTTGCCTGTGATATGTGGGTAGTGCTTGGTCCAGCTTAAATGTAAATGTCTCAGGGGACATGCAGGCTCCTGATTTTATAATTTTCTTCTTTTCCCTTAAAATTTAGAGGGGGAAGAAATAGAAACCAGAGGTAGAAGTTTCCTCCCTTCATATGACTTGGAGGTAATGGCGGTGGGGTGGGCAAACGTGCTCACCAGGGTATCAGTGCTCTGGAAACTGCACCTCTCCCTTGGGCAATTCCATTACTCAAAAAGTGCACAGAGAAATGCCACCAGTGTCCCCAACCCTATTCCTCTTCAGCTCAGTGGAACGATCCATCTAGATTCCTGAATGTTTCCTGTCAACTTGAGTGAGTAAGCACTCCAGGTTTGGTGAGGATGAGGCCCAGAGGGGAGAAACTGCCTCTTTAGGTTTCCTGTTGACTAGCCACAAACTGCACAGGCCTCCTGACTGGAGGATGAAGTCACTGATGTAGTGTGAGCTCATGATAGGACCATTGCCTATCTTATTCTGAGTGGCCCAGTATTTTTAGACTTTGAGCATTTGGCATTGAAAGAAATGTGTGTCATTGCACAATGAATGCTCTCCCTGACACATGTTCAGCAACAGAAGGAAGCCTGTCGCTCAGCATCTGCCCACATCTCCATCTGTGGAGGTTAGTTCTGTGGAAAAGTTGCAAAACCCACTGACCTTCTCTCTAGTGGGATCTTTATAGCAGTGGATGAGATGAGATTTCAAAAGGGAAATAATGACCCATTATGAGATTTGCATTTTGAGTTTGTTTTAGAAGTTTTCTTTGAGTCTACTAAGATCACCTGCAAGTTGATTTTAGGACAATCTGATAAATGAACCTTTCAAATTCTGATCCAGATGTATAGAGTGTGATTATTCACATTATAAGATGGAAGTCTTCCCTCCAAAATTCACTGTGGGTTTCATTAAATAGCTTCCCACAAGCATTTGAAGGAGGATCAGGTTTGCAAAAGCTGATGTACTTATTGAGGAAGATATTTATTGTATAAAGCCTTGCCAGGTTTCCATTAGACAGAAAAAGTTCTTCGTTCAGTATGTCCAAACACGTGGCTAAAATTAACTGTGTATTCACAGAGGTATTTTTTAGGGCTTCTGTAATATACAATGTATACCCCATATAATACTTAATTTAAATACCCCCAGGTGATGAGAGATAATGGGTCTTTAAAACTAATCCCATCCCCCCAAAAAAATGAGTCAGTAAAAACTTTAAACTTGATCGATGGTCTAGAATTAGAATCTACCAAATGCATGTCTAATATTGGATTCTGTACTTTGCTAATGAAAATCTCAATTTGTAAAGCAATGTGGCAGATTCTGCCTGCTGTTCTCCCAGTAACCATTCTCCCTGATTTTTGGTGTTTGTATTTCTGCCCATGCTTATGTGGGGAAACTGTATTCTTGTCAGTGAGATGTAGAAGAAGTGGTGTGGAACATTTCTTGGTGTGTCCTTTAGGATACCATCCCTTCCCTTTCCTCCTCTTGTTGGCAGCCTGGAAAATTTTATGGTGGTAATAACTCTGGATGCTGTTTTAGGATCACATCTGAGGAGGAGAGATTGGAAGGTACCTGCATCCAGGTATTTTCATGGAACTTTCAGAATAAAAAGAATTTTCTTCTGGACTTTTTTTTCCCCTGTAAAAATTAAACTTGGTGAGTTAAAGTTACTGTTCTGAGAATTTCTGTCACCAAACTTAATTCTGATTAGTCTCTTTCTTTTTCTTTCTTTTTCCTTTTGAGATGGGGATCTCACTATGTTGCCTAGGCTGGCCTTGAACTCCTGAACTCAAGCAATTCTCCTGCCTGGGTATCCCGGTAGCTGGGACAACTGGAAAGTACCATGGTGCCCGGTTTCTGTTACCCATCATTTTTTTTTAAGTTTTCTTTCTTTTTTTATCTTTATTATTTTGTTTGCTTATTTTTATTTGGTGCTGAGGATCGAACCCAGTACCTCACGTGTAAGGCAAGCGCTCTGCCACTGAACTACAACCGCAGCGCCTCTGTTACTCATCGTAATCTTGATTTGGTAGATACTTAAAGTCTTGTTAAAGACTTACTATTTCAGTTTCTGTTGACAATGAATGCTCGTTCACATTTATTCCTTTGAACGTGATCTTGAAATGTTTGGAGAGACAGGTGCCTGGAAGGACCCCAGGTCTATAGATTCCTAAATATATGTCTTAACTAAGATAACAAGATGGCCATTGAGCTGGGTGTAGTGGTGCATGCCTGTAATCCTAGCAACTCAGGAGGCTGAGGCAGGAGGATTGCAAGTTCAAAGCCAGCCTCAGTAGAAGCAACGTGCTAAACAACTCAGTGAGATGTGTCTCTAAATATAATACATAAAAGGGCTAGGGATGTGGTTCAGGGGTTGAGTGCCCCTGAATTCAATCCCCAATACCCCCCTAAAAAAATAAAAATAAAAAAGGGCTGGGGATGTGGCTCAATAGTTAAGCACCCCTGATATCAAAAACAAAATCCTTGGTACCAAAAAACAACAAAAACCAAGATGGCCATAGAAAAGAAAGTTTCTTGTATCCATTCTGTTTGCAGCATGTTGAAATGTGTACTCTTGTACCACAAAGGGTTTATTAAGAACCCAGGCAAAAAGTAATGGTTAGCATAAATAAAAATAAAAAGTGCAGGATCCCATGGTGCATTCCTGTAAGCCCAGCAATTTGGGAGGCTGAGGCAGGAGAATCATAATTGGAGGTTGCAGCTTCAGCAACTTAGCAAGACCCTGTCTCAAATAAAATAAGAAGAACTGGGGATGTAGCTCAGTGGCAAAGCAGTCCTGGATTCAATCCCCAGTCCCACAGGGAGGAAAAATGAGAGTAGGGAAAATATGTAAATCAACACTAGAAAAATGTAAAAATGGATAGAGGCACAGAGAGATGTATTCAGAAGTAGTGTATGCATGTGAAATCAGTTGCATGGGAAGAAAATGAGTGTTTACACTAGAACTTTAGTTATGTTTAGTTAGAGTCATTTTTCCTCCTAAAATGAGAGGCATCAGGATTTAGTAATATTTAGCATATGGACTGTCATGCATTCCACGCTGCTGGCCTATGACATTTACAGAAGCACAGGGCCCTGAGGCACACAGGGCAGACCTTCCACACACCACTGAGGCCCACAGAGCCACCTAGCTAGTTTGGTTGCTTTCTGCAGGCTGAGGCATCTTGTAGTACATGTGTGTCCAGTTACGTTGATTTCTGGTTTATATCATCCATATTTAAGTACATCCTCAGGAAGGGAGGGTAGTAGCTGAAAAGCATTCCTGCCAAGAAACTGCCTGTTTAGCTTGTCAAACGAGTATTATCTTCAGGCAGCTAAGAAAATGGCCAGGGCTTGGGGGTGTAGCTCTGTGACAGAGCCCTTGCCCAGCATGTGCAAGGCCCTGGGGTTCAGTCTCTAGCATGTGCACACATACACACACACACACACACACAGAGTAAATAAATGACAATGTGATCTAGTTGTGTCTGAAAAAAAGCTAAAACGATTCTGAAATTATTAGAACACTCTTTGAAAGATGGATTTTTTCCTCCCTGAGATTCCTAACAGCTTTAAAAATTGAAAAGGGAGATAGAGAAAGAGAGATGGACTCTCATGCTCAGGAATGAAAAAAAATATTGTTTCCTCAAGAGAAAGAAAGCTTTTCTTAGCTTAAAAAAAAAGTAAAAAGAAAGAAGCAGTTATTTATGGGACCTGTCCTAAGTTGAGGCAATATCCTCGGACATTTTCCTGCAGTAGAAGGTGAGAGAATTTCATTCCACCGCTTCACAAAGGATCTTTGAGCATTTCATGGACTTGGGCTGTCATTACTAAAAAACGTTGTATCAATAATTTTGATCTTGACAGTGCTGATCTTTCACTTTTGGGTGAATTTTACATCTGAACAGTTGAATTTTCATTGTTACCCTGTAGCTACTGACAGACACGAGTGCTGTCATTGGATGCTGTTTTCTTGCTCTCTGCTTTCCTTAAATCTCAACAATTGCCATAGTCTTGCATGACACACTACATCAGTCCATATTTCCCCTTATCACTTTTTATCCCACCCTTTGACTTACATCACTCAAGCGGGAAACTCACAATTTGTTTTTGCTGTTTTCTCCTCAGACTCTTCAGTTTGTCCCATCCTTACCTCAGGTCAACTCTCTCCAGGCTTGGTGACCTTTGCTCTCAGTTACTGAAACAAAGATTTTCTTGCCTAGCAATGACGTGCCCCTGAGTGTGTTTTCCTCAGCTCAAACGGGAAATTTGAGATAAATGTGTGCAATGTCTTAGGAATCCTCTCCCCTACCCTCCACACTCAGGTTCTTCCCATGTGACAATCCTTTACTCCAGCTTCCACACAGAGCCCCAGGATGGACCTTCTGGGGGAGGGGGTGGGGGGAAGGGACTGTGTCTTCAGGAATGCAGTTAGATATGCTGTGCTTGTGGCCCAGTGGAGACATCTGGGACCTCATTAAGGATGAGTTAAGGAAGAAGACAAAGGGCTTTTAAAATTTTGAAATCTCCTAAACCACAAAAATCCTTACGCTCTCCATCCGCACCAGGTCAAAACAGGGCTGGTATTTTGTTGCTACACACAGATGCTGTGGCACAGCTGTTTGAAATGTGGAAATCCACCCAGTATATTGGTACATGGCTGCTGCCCTGACCCCTTATTGTGCACTCTCCTTCACTCCTGCTCTGATCACCAGAGGAACCCCCATTCCTTTCCCATGATCCAAATCCAGAATATGGCACCTGGATTAATCCAGATGGTAAGGATCGATTTTGAGCTGTCTCACCCTCTGTGGATCTCGTTCAGTGGGCCCCAAGCTTCCCTCAGTCTCACCTCTCAGAGTCTCTTTCCTGCCCTCTGGCATCCATCCAGAGCCCTGAAATTTGAACTGGTGAATGTTTTTGTCGCTTACAGATGTGACCTGGGGCCAGTTGACCTACCCTGGCCTCAGATGGCTCACTGCAAAGTGGAGTCTTGTTAAACAAGAACATGACTGAAGCCCCAGGTTGGCATATGGGAACCTCTTCAGGTTAGCTCTCCCCCTCCTCCCCTTCTTCCTCCTAGTCTCCTACCCCTCCCCACTTCCTTACCCCCATTTTCCTGTCACTCTGCACCCTGAGCGCTGGGACTCAGTTCTGCTCTCAGTCACTGTATGCCAGACCCCTTCAGGGAGGCAGATGTTAATTAAAGTGCTAATAGTGCTCAAGTGGGTTCAGAAAGGGTCAAGAGGAGAAGGGGAGAATGTCTATCCTTCCCGCTCTGATTGATCCACTTCTTGAGTCTTGGGGAACCCTCAAGAGGGTGAGCGTGTTCCAAACTCTCCAGTGACTTCTAGAAAACATTCCTGCATGTCCTTGCTCCTAGACATTTCTTTTAACCCTGGATAAATGAGAAAGCTCCCTGCCAGCCTGTACCTTTTCTGGCGGGTCTGGTCTCTGGGATTTAGGTGCTGAGATAGTGGTTCTCACATGCCTCCATACCTTGGAGTCACCTGATTGTCTTAAACAAATGCTGATGCGTGGCCCCACCCTCAAAGCTACCTGGGTGGCTGGAAATTTACAAGCTCCCCAGGTAACTCTGCAGCAAAGCCTGAGAATCTCTGCCCCAGCTATCAGTATGGGGCACAGTGATGCTTGGTAGGTTCTTTTTTTTTTTTTTTTTTTGGTGCTGGGGATTGAACTCAGAGGCACTAGACCACTGAGCCATATCCCCAGCACCCCTCCCCCCACCTTTTTTTTGTATTTTACTTAGACACAGGGTCTCACGGAGTTGCTTGGCGCCTCGCCATTGCTGAGACTGGCTTTGAATTCGCGATCCTCCAGCCTCAGCCTCCCCAGCCGCTGGAATTATAGTCATGGGCCACTGCGCCTGGCTCTGGGTAGGTTCTTGCTGATTTTGCGGGTATGGGTGGCTGTGGATTGGTGAGTGGCATTTAGGTATGCTAAGAAATTTTGTTCACTGCCTGCTTATCATTTCCTAAAGACGCTGGTCCACAGACTTAAATGTGCAACAGAATCACCTATAAGGCTTGTTAAAACCCATACCACTGGGCCCCAGCCACCAGTTTTTGATTCAGCACTTCTAGGGTGGATGGAACCTGAGAATCTGCATTTGTAAAAAAATTCCCTGTGTTGTCCAAGCTGCTGGTTCCGGGACCACACATTGAGAACCACTGCCTTAAAGGATGTGTTTCCTAGCTTTGCCCCTCCCAACCTCCCACATCTGTTAAAAAAACAAAGATTCCTGGGTCCCACCCTCATCTATTGAATAAGTCTCTCCCGGGGAGGAGCCAGAACTTGGTTTTGTCAAGGGTCATCTCTTGGTTCTCATCCTCAGTGACATTTGGAAGCATTGTCTGATAATGCCAAGTGAGCAGGGCATGGTGGCACATGTCTATAATCTCAGCTGCTTGGGAGGCTGAGGCAGGGGGTACTGAAAGTTTGAGGACAGTCTAAGCAATTTTGTAAGACCATGTTTTTTTTTGTTTTTGGTAGCAGGGATTGAACCCAGGACGGTCACCGTTGCAGGAAGCCAGCTAGACAAGCAGTAGCAAGTGGCGCTCGGAAAGACGGAGAACTCATGCTTCATTTTACTCCAGCCGGCACAGAGGGGAACAAACTCTAAATTCTGAGCGCTGGCCCTTAGTTTCTCATAACATTTATAGGCAATTTTGTGCCATAAAATTTCTAGTCTACATGACAGGAGGCCTTGTGTGGGGTTTCTAGTGGGAAGTGTGTTTACAGAAGCAAAAAAGCGATAAGAGGAACTGGCTCTTTGCACAGGCATAAATAAATCTTTGGCCTTGTGTCTGAAGCCTGGTCCAGGGGTGTTTACGTTTCAAAAGAGAGTAGTCAGATTCCTAGAGACAGTTATTTACAATCCAAATGGTAGGGACCTATGGTTAATTAGGTTTCCTGAAGAAAGGCTGACAGAAGGGTGGTGGTGGTGGTGGAGGGAACTCTAACCCTTTCCCAGGCTTTCTTTCTCATGATAACATTCTTGTGATTTCATTTTACAACCAGGTCTGGTTTTGCTATCTCATAACCGCTGAGCTACATCCCCAGCCCTTTTTATGTTATTTTGAGACAGACTCTTCCTAAATTCCCTAGGGCCTCACTAAATTTTTTGAGGCTTGTTTTGAGCTTGCAATCCTCCTGCATCAGCCTCCTGAACCACTGGAATTCAGGCATGTGCTACCACGTCCAGCTATGAGACCCTGTTTCAAAATAAAAAAATAAAGGGCTGGGGATGTAGCTCAGTTGTATAGCATGCCTGGGCTCAATCCCAAATGATGTAAGAAACAGTGAAAAATCAGACCCACAAGCTTATGTTAGAATAACAAATATTTGGGTTTAGAGTTTTGGAGTCACTAGTGGTTTACCTGGTAACTACAAACAACAACAGCAAAATAATATAATTAGTAAAGAAAAATTTAAAAACCTGGGCTGGAGATATAGCTCGGTTGGTAGAGTGCTCTCCCCAATGCACAAGGCCCTGGGTTCAAAAAAAAAAAGTGCTCGACTTTTTCCTCTTTCTTTCCCAAACTCAGCCTTAGACATTAGTACTGGCTCTTCTAGTAAATAATGTGAAAGTTTAAACATCTTAATTGGCTTTATTCAGTATTCTAGTATTTACCAACACTTCATTCCTCAAAGCAAGATGAGATGAGCTGGGTTGAACAAAGCAGAAATTCAGAACAAAAAGTTTATTGGAGGTGCTGAGGTTGTGGCTCAGTGGTAGAGCGCTTGCCTAGCATGTGTGAGGCCCTGGGCTCGATCCTTAGCACCACATAAAATAAACGAAAGTTTAAATAAAATAAAACTAAAAATTAAATCGGTCATTTCAAAGTTATTTTCCTTGTAACATTGGGATAGGGAGAGAGAACAATAGAAGAGTAACTGGTTAATATTGGGTTAGTTCAGGTTACTTTTTTGGAAAGGATTACAACGGAGGGAATTTTTACTGGAGGGAATTTTTACTGACGTGCAAATAAAAACTGGTCTGTTTATAAAATTTAGCTGTTATCTGTCTCCTGATTTCTCAGAGGGCCAGGTAACAACTAAGTTTAGGTTTGATGAGGTGGAACCTCAGCCTGAGTGGCTCCCTTCTGATTTTTAGTCTAGTCTGATTTTTAGCCTAGTATACAGCTCAGTTCAAAACAGTGGCCTCTGGTAATTTTTATTTAACAAATCAATATTGTAGAGATTTCTCTTTTATACAATATAACTGACCTCAATTTATTAACTTAACCACTGAGCTCCATCCAATAGATAATCTGGGAACTGGGGAAGAATTTAAATTTGAAAGCTAAAGACAGATACCTCAGTATTTTCTGGTTTAAAACAGTTGGTGCAGGCTCTTATTGGTCAATACTTAATCTTTGAAAGTTTCTCTTTTCCCTTTCATTCAGTCATGCTGGTTTCTGGTGTAGGGATGCTGGGGTGTCCAGTGTGCCAATGGAGAGGGGAGAGCTGGTACCCAATTCTAAGGGTCACCTGTTTTTTTTTTTTTACTGGGGACAGGTACCAGGGATTGAACTCAGGTGCACTTGACCACTGAGCCACATCCTCAATCCTATTTTGTATTTTATTTAGAGACAGAGTCTCACTGAGTTGTTTGGTGCCTTGCTTTTGCTGAAGATCCTCCTTGAGATCTTTGTACTGGAGATCCTCCTGCCCCAGCCCCTAGAGCTGTTGGGATTACAGGAGTGCACCACCCACCCGGCACCTCTTCTGATCTTGATGCCCTGCCCACTGTGGCCCTCAGGATCAAGAGTGGCAGGTTTCTCTTTTTGTGCCAGGTTGACTATGGCCCTGTTAGTTAGAACTTCAAATGGATACTTCTGAGTCCTTCAGGAGTTTGTTCTGCTGATGAAGAGGTAGGAACCTGTATGTATATTGGTAAATGTATATGAATTTTCTTGGGATGAGAAAGATAAAATGACCTAGCCAGGTGCAGTGACTTAGGACTGTAATCACAGCAAGTTGGGAGGCTGAGGTGGGAGGATTACAAGGTTGAGGTCATCCTGGGCAACATAACAAGACCCTATGCCTGTCTCAAAATAAAAAGGGTTGGGGATGTAGAGTGACCTTGTTTTCAATCCCCAGTACTGGGGTTTGGGGTTGGGCGGGGCAGTTGATATGACTTGCTTCAGAAGGTAGAAGCTGTTTTTTGTTTTTTTGGTACCTGGGATTGAACCCAGGGGCACTTAATCACGGAGCAACATCCCCAGCCCTTTTTAATATTTTATTTAGAGACAGGATCTTAGTAAGTTGCTTTAGGGCCTTGCTAAATTGCTGAGGCTGGCTTTGAACTCTGGATCCTCCAGACTCAGCCTCCCCAGCTGCTGGGATTACAGGCCAGTGCTACTGTGCCTGGCTTGTTTGTTTATTTTGTGATTGATCATGGACACAAGGCAGACCATTCAGTTCTTGGACCAGGGTCTGGACCATCTTCTGTCTCTGTCCCCACCTTAAGGCGGGCCACAGCTAAATACATCCTGTGGTGGCACCCTGTTTCATTCTATGTCCTCAAGTGATGCTTAGCGTCTCCAGTCCATCAGACAATTTGATATAAAAGTAACTGACAGGGTTGGGTCACAATCTGCTGTTTTTAGACACAAGCTTGCCATAGACCTTAGTGCCCAGAGACTGAAATGCCAGCCTGGGTGGAAGGACATTAAACACACTCCTCACCCATGCATGCATTTATGGAGCTTCCACGGTGCATGGTGCAAGGCGTTGTATTGGGTGCTGCCGAACAAATATACAGACATATGCATGTAAAATTAAATTGCAGCACTAGGCAGGCTTTGAGGAAGATCAAAGTACCAATGCTATAAGAAAAAGAGGAGAATATGACTGTGTGCTGGAATTGGAGCTTCATGGAGCAGGGAGGTTTTGGAGCCAGGGTCCGGGCTGAGTCAAAGTTCCAGGGACAGATTGAACCTGATAAGTCGTGAGCTCAACTGTATAAGATTCCGCACACCATGGGTGACAGAGAGTGTGATGCTTGTCATCCCACGCGTGTTTAAGAAAATGAAAAGCTGGTTTCTCGAACAGGTGAATTGTAGCGCATTGTTAGATATTATGGTCATTTAAAAACCGGAGGGCCAGATGCTGTAGGGAATACCAAAGAAAAGGACAAGGAACAAGGAGAGAGGGTAGAATTTGATTCTGGGCCACCATTAAGAGATTACATTTCATATTATTTTATCAAGAACAGATGTTGGTATGAGTCAAATTGACGCAATTGATAAAAACACCAAGTCTCAGATGCCCTAAACTCTTAAAGCTTTGGGGAAACTGGAAATTTTACCATCTTGGGGTTTGTGCTCCACGGGTATAGTAATCTTACCTAGAAATATATAATATGAAGTCTATTTTTCCTCTCATAAAACTCAAGGATGAAATGTATGAGGGAAGACAACATAGGGAACATTTTTGCAGAAGTCGTAGTAAATTCAAGTTATCCAGCTGCACAGCTGGGGATGTTCATTGGCCTGACTCCAAAACGTTATAAAGGGAATAGGAGCAAATGCAGCTTTGGCTTCTCAGGCTTCATCAAACCTCGAATCTTTTACAATTCTTTTTATATTGGCCCTAAAATGTTATTTGACTGAAATAATCTTCCCCTCGATAGCAAAGTATGTCTCACAAGCTGCAGATTAACTGGTCAACTTGACATTCCAGGTTCCCAATAGCTGATGCTAGCCCCCCCTTTTTCTAGAACACAGATCTTGTGCGTGATTTAGGGGTGGGAATGATTTAAGGCTCAATTACCCTCTTTTTA